GTGTAGCGGGGGTGTGGGGGTGTGTCAGCCACCCCTCTAAATAAAGTAAATAAATAAAAATACTTGGCTGGCTAACCTGTTGTGTCACTGATAACTCGGTTCTGTCTCCCCCAATAAATGCTGGCTATGCCCATGCTAGAATGGTGCCAATATTTGGCTATGTTGCTAGTACTTTGGCAGCAACATCTTCATAACCACCACATCTGAATGGAATGCTCCCAGATTTGTCCCCTAATGCACAACTTGAGATTCTGTCGTCACACATTGCTGGGATATAGTCTTTCTGAATCCTGGCTATGGTTTGGGCAACAAGAAATTCATGTTGGCCTAATGATATGCCTGAAGACAGAAGTGCCTGGCATGCTCTGGTCCATGGGGTCACGAAGAGTCGGACACGACTAAACGACTAAACAACAACAACAACAATGATATGCTTTCCTCTCACTCCCACCCTCTTCCAAGCATATTTTACTTTTTGAGGATACTGTTTGTTCCATTGTAACTCTTTATCTCTGCTTTACCTCATAATGGGTGTCATGGAAAGCATTTTATATTTCCAGAAGTGGCTGGCACAGTGCTGTGAAGCTACACTCCCAACACTGGTGTTGTTACTGCTTGCTGGTATGGTTTAAGGATGGGGTCGTGGTGAATTTGGGCACACTGATAGGAGTACCAGATTGGCTATGACGGGGCACCCATAGAGCCCTAATCTTCCTGATGTCCTGCCAGGGTAGCAGGCAACAGTGCCAGTGTTGGGAAGATGGCTCAATAGTACTGCTCCACCTGCTGGCTGCTCCTGTATCCTGTATCCTACACAGCACAAAGGTCCTTAAAACTCAGGTCAACATCATACTGATTAGGGAAATTCAGTTCCCACTATGCTTCTTTGAAAGATGTGACCAAACATTCACAAGATAGACAACATGTTTAGGATGCTGGTGGTTTGCCATATTCACATGACTCTGAACTTAGTCTGGTTTGCAAAGACTTCAGGTTCTCCAGTCATCTTTAGTGGTGCTTTCTAGAATTGTGCATACACAAGGAAAATGCCCCAGAATCAATCAAAATATAAGATGGAGGTCCATAACATTTATTTTGACTCTATCTCATTGGTTTTCAGGATATATTAAGTGAGGCATGCCATCCCATTGGCCTGCCCTCACATTTTCTGCCTCTTTGGGTCTGCATGGTTTTCTTGCTGCTTTCAGTTTGCTGATAACATGCTACACACTACATTGCTTTTATGTATTTATCAACTTTGGGAGTTTTGACTTTCCTATAGCTGCAGCAGTTTCTGCTTTCATCTCATGTACTTTTGCAGTAGAAGTGGTGCTGTTATCAAGTGTTTCTGGGGCATGTTTAACGTTGAGACTATCTCAGTGACTTCCTTCATATAGAGAGCTTTTTCAGTTTCCCTCAGCTACATGGGGCATAAAGTGACTTTTAGCGAGGAAATTGTCATTATAGTCTGGGGAAATTGGCAGACTAGAGTCTCAGGGAATATCCAAAATTTTGGAGAGGTTCCTTTTCTGCTTGCCTCTCATTACTGAAAGGTGCTTGATTCTAATAAGGAAGCATCTGCTCAAATACAGCGGCAACATGTGGCTAATGAATGTAATAAATGTATTATTATTGGTAGCAGAATGTCATCCAAAATTTACAATTTCCAAATAATATCCAAATAATATATATGTCAGTCCATAAACAAAGAGTAGTCAACGTAAAGAGTTACTGGCGAGGAACACCATGATGCAGGCAGGATGCCTTTCAATGTCCAATAAGTGTTGTAGTGGGTGCTCCAACGTAACGAATTCAATAGCAAACAGCAAACAAGCAGAGCAGTATATCCGGATTGGATCAACTGTTTTGAAGATGAATCTTCATCAGCTGATGATGAAATTAAATACATTACATACAATGGATGATAACAAAAATAAAACTGAGCAACCAGCATAATGAATAAATAATAAATAAATAAATAAGGAATATATACCAAGTAATTTTTAGAATATTCATACAGGTAAATATAATACTTGTGGATCAGAGCTCACTAACCAGTGATGCTGATAAAACCCATGTAAGAACTTAAAGTTATTCACAGGTGTGTCGAATAACAAACAATTAAGAACAAAGTAAGAAAATTTAAAGGTACAGTATATCAAATCTGGCATCACAACGCAAGCTGAAACCATAAAGTTATTGCAACACAGGGGTTTGTTTATCACTCTAATCAGGAAGCAGGCAGGGATAAAGACAAAACAAAAACATAACTAAAAATAAAATAAAGCAGACAGGCGTGCACACACACAGACTTAGAGGCAGACAGACACATACAGGTAGTGAATTTAAGAGTGAAAAACAGCATGCCCCCCTCTTCTGCGGAAATGCTGCCTTTTACTCTTAAAGATCAGGCAACATTTTTATTATGTTTGATCTTAGCATTGTTGGACCACAGCGCTAAGGTAGGAGAGAAACATTTGCCTGCTGCCTTTTACTGTCAAAGAACAGGAAGAGGCTTATCGATGATGTTAGCACTGAGTGCTTAGATTGGAGAAAGTAGATCATGTGACTGACTAGTGATCATGGTTTGTCCAAAATGGCTTCAGAGGCCAAATTCAGAAACCGGGTGGGTCTAATTAAGCCTATGAACTGGAGGTCCCCACCCACTTGCTGCGATGCATTCTGAACTGAGGTGTAGGTTTGCAGATCCCTTTGTGTTAGGCCTCTGAATATCTTTTGGGCTTTGCCTTGCAGTAGAAAATCAAGGAAATGAAGCTTGATGACCTTATTCCAGTTATTTGTGTGTGTAACTCATTCAGCGTGATTTTTCCAGCTGACCCAGCATTGACTATTTCCATATCCCTCTAGCATGAAAATAAGCTGCTGTAGTAATTGTCTCCATTGCCCTGTGCAATTTCACCAAAAAAACCTCAGGAGTATATTGAGTAGCAGATGGTAATGGTGCTCATTTGACCTTCCAAGAGCTGAGTGGCTGCTGCTTACCAAGAAGGAGACGGAGCGGCAAGATGGCAGAGAGGCTGGTGTGGTGCAAATACACCAGCAGGAGTACCATATAGCCTCCACCAATGGATTTGCACTGCATCAGCCTCCCTGCTGCCTCTCCCTCAGATCAGTAGCCAAAGGCACTTCATCAGGTTCAAAAATCACACTAACTCGTATTCTGAGAATTAACAGTTGATTTGGTGGGGTAGGTAAACAGGAAGACTTGGTGTCACTTTAGGGGATGGTATGATAAAAGTACTGGTTTAAAAGTGAAACCGTCTAGACTTTCCTGTTCATTAGTTCAGCTTCAGCACTAAGTGAGGCTCCACATCTTCAGGGCATTTCCCAGAGAGTCACTTTAACTAGCGACAAACCCAAGGCTACCTTTCTATCTAAACTGCTAGCATGGTTTTTCTTTTCACATTTTGAGTCCCCACTGGTGCTTTACTAGCCTTCCTACGCCTGCTCCCAAGCTACAGTATTTATTTATTTGTTTGTTTGCTTGCTTGCTTAAATTGGTTTCCCACCTGTCACCCTAAGATCCCAGGTTGGGTTACATTAATTTAAAACCAATATAAAGCATCTTGCAATAACAAAAATAGGATGGATCCTAAAAACATACATCTTAGGTGTCAAAGGCTACAGTAAAGACTTATTGTCTGTTTTCTGTATTTCTCCCTGCTTTCCCTCCCTTTTCCAGCAATACGACTCTGTTCCCTACGTCAGATATGCAGCTCACAGCAGAGACTGTTGAGAAACCTAATTCGACAGTCTCATGCATTACATTACACCTGGGCACTGATCATGCTGGCTGGGAATTGAAGCATTGCCCTCATGATCCCTTCTAACTCTACAATTCTATGATTCTAAGTCCAACAAAATCTGAAGGGCAGCATGTTGGCAATACTTGCCATGCTAGCTCATAGCATCATGTACAAGCAACAAGTGGAATTTTACATCCACTTAAGGAGCTTCAATTTCCCACATTTCTGAGGCAGCAGCATGGGACACATTTGGCACTTTTTGTACAGGAAGAGTGACTGCATTTCAGTAAATGAAGACTAGCATGACCTAGCATAGCCTTCCCTGAACTGGTGCTCTCAGATTGGGGAAGGCTGACCTAGCATATGGTATGGCTCTAAACACATAGTGTTTAAAATATGCTGCTTGCAACATTGTTAATGAAACATTGAATTTTTAAAACATTTCATATGAAAAGTGTAACAAAATAACAAAATATAAATGGAACTTGTCTGTTAGATTTTAGAATGCTTTGTTAAACTAGGGAATGTGTTAACTAGTCTTGTTCACACTTGTTTGATTAGATTTCATGTGGAGGATGAAATTTAGCTTTTATCTACTTGCTCTTAGGATTTGTACACTGTTGTGTGCTTCTGATGATTATTGCAACAAGGATCATCACAGGCTGAAAGCAGTTTGAGCCAAGCATTTCATCACAAACTTAATGTATTTACTTTACAGAGAAACAGAGTGATTAACTCTTCTACAAATATGTGAAGAGATGCAAAATGCTTGCAATTTGTTCTGTTTCATTAAATTTTTAAAAATATTTTTATTTGTAGCCCTTTTTATTGTTTATAGTGACTAAAATAATGTTAAATTTAATATATTAGCTTATGGTTCAATATATGCTGTAGGTCACATAGCTAATTAAAATATTTAATTTTCATTATTTAAATTAATTCTGTTGAAAGAACTAGGTGTTCATTATGAAATGTCACAACAGTAATTAAGAATTTTAGGTGTTTTTTATTTTATTTTTATTAAATTTGTATACCACCCTTCATCTGAAGATGATTGTGATATTGTAATAATATCATTAGCCTAGTGGAAAACTTGTCTAGATACAAGTTTTGGCAAGTGAACAGGGAAATGACAGCATTCTTTCTGTTGCCTGTCGAGTGAGAAGGTGAGGACTGCAGATAGGATTTGTGTTCTAGTACACTGCACTCAGCTGCACAAACTTATTTTTTTAGGGTGAAAGAAGAACAAAAACCACAAGCGACACAGTAAGTAAAAAAATCTTAAAAGTGTAGTGGGCTTGACTTCTCTACCTTTGCCATATTCTGCTTTCTGCACCTTTTGATGGTATTAGGTTTCACTAATATCTGATAGGCTGCTGGTAGTCATCTGCTTTCTGATTGGCTTGTAAGAGCTGCTTGCGGCTTCTTACTTCATCCACATATTAGCTGGATGTAGTTTCTTGCTACCTGCTTCTGGACTATTTAAATGTAAAACTTTATTTCCCCTTACATCCTATTAGTGGCTGACTTAATTGCAGTGAACATTCCCATTGGCTTTAGCTTTTCTGCCTTTATATGACTATTATTATTGGGTAAGAAAGCATTTATGCTAGTGTGATTTTATTTGGTTATTCAGTCACATTATTTGCTTATTTAAACAGGTGGTTTCCCTTTAGTGGGATCACTGAGCTGGTAAATAACGTTCTTCAGCCACAGCAAAAACAACAAAATGAAAAGGAGCCCCAGACGTAAGTAAGCCGCTATCTGTAGACTAAGTACTGCTGTAGCATTAAAACATACCACAGAGTATGTTTAAATAATATATAACATCCTTATAAGAACATCTTTCAAATTGAGGCTGCAATCCTGTGCATGCTTGCTGGGTAGCAAATCTTGCTGAACTCATTGTGATTTACTGCTCAGTTAGCATCTATAGGATTAGCTATATAACTGATGCTGCTTTTCAATCTTTAATTGGCAAAAGGAAATTGAACCTGGCTTCAGGTTTGGTTGGTTAGGAATGCTTCCTGCTCTTTAGGGGACCAGCTTCTTTCATGAACTTCATGCGCAGAACTCCTTCAAAATTAAGATGACTGATATGCATGAAGAGCTTGAGTTTTCAGATCAGTTGTGTGAATGCCCCTGATATTTATGTACACATATTTACCTACATCATCACTGTGTCATTCCTTTACAATATCTGTCAAGTTGCAAGGCAGATATTGTCTTCTGTGTTTACCATCATGCATAAATGGATTTCCCTTAATGAGACCATATGAAAAAATGGCTCATTTTTTAATTTAAAGATGTGATGGTTGTGACAGAAATGGCAAAGTTCGGAGACTCAGACTTAAGCTTAATCTAGTGTTAGAGAATTATACATCAAGGATATTAAAAACTGAACATATAAGGGTATATTGAGTATTACTTTTAAGTTTATTTAAATGGCTCTCTCTCTCCCTTATGTCAACCAAATAACTATTCTGAAGCATCAATATTATTTATTTATCTGCTAGTAATACAAAGGCTAAAGAGAAATGGAACAAAATGTTTTCCCCATCACACCTCTACTGGTGTGTGAGAGTTTTCCTTGGATCTTCCTGAACATGGTTGATTGTATGGTATTATTACTTGGGCTTTGCAACTTGATTATTGTATTTAAATAATTTTTTATAGTTAAAAATCCAGGCTGTGAATCAGAGTCCTACATGCAGGTAGTGTATTTATTGTTTGACTGAGACAGATAAAAGTTCTGTTAGTTTTCTTGCTATGCAGTGGAGAAGCCTCAATTTAATGTTATTGATTTAATGCAAAGTTATTCTTTTGAAAGCCTATGAATATCTTTTAGTGATTTTTTTCATACTGAATTTATTTGTTTTCTATAAATGTATTATAACTTTATCACTGAACTACCCTTCTAACTTTTGCCATTCCTTAAGGTCTGTTCTTTTTTTTTAATTGATTCTTAATTTCAAATAACAAAACATGCTCATACAAGGAAAACAGAGCTTAGTAACTGCACAGAAAAGAAAGAAAAATAGTGGCTATGGCTGTAGTTTTAGATGTTTCAAGAACGGCAATCAAATGAAAATGTCTCTCAATAAGTTTCCATGAGTTGATGAAGGATGAAAAGCGTGTTCGATTGTCTTAACAAAGTCAATAAAAGGATACCATGTCGTATAGAAGGTGTGATTCTTCCACTTGATCAATATTCATTTTGTGAAATGGTTAATTTGTTCAAAGCAAGATATCTCATACCTAGGAAATCCAGGCCTCAAAAAGATTTGCATTTAAAGTTTTCCCATTTTTTTGCAATCACTAATGTAGCTGCAGTTAATAAATGGGGGATGAAGTCATTATTGGTTATGTTATTAATCTGAGGGGTAAAATAAGATAATAGGGCTTATTTTGGGTCTGGTTGTAGCGATTGCCCAATCATTTAAATTAATTGGTTGAAAAATTTTCTCCCAAAAGGGAATAATTTTGAGGTTGAACCACCACATGTGTGTACTAGAGAGCCTAGGAAATTGCATTCCCACTAGCAAAGGTTGAATGTGTTGTGATTAATTCCATATAGTCTGTCTGGGCACATGTACAGCAATGTGCTATCTTTAAAGCATTTTTATGACTTTATTTCAAATTTGCTGACCCTGTACCTTTGGAAATACCTCGTGAAGTGTACCAATCTCCACCTCTGCATTGGAAGAGGGATTTTGTATCAGTATTGTGTTTCTCTTTTTTATTTATTTAATGTGTATCTTGTAAAAAAAAAAAAAAGAGGTCTGGGTTAACTCACTTTAAAGCAGACCATATCCCTCTTCTTTTATTTGGTGTACTCAGGTCATTTACGTTGCAAGTTATTTCAGCTAAGTGTGGCACTATAAGATTAATTTAAAATTACACAGCATATACCAGGCAATAGATCTATTATGCATCACAGTAATTTCAGTGTTATTATCATATTCCATCAGCACAAAATAAAGATGCCATTAATTCCAACAGGGATTAACTTCAACATTCAAACTCCCCCCCCCCCAATCCTCCAACCTTCCCAACAGAATAATCCCTACACCTCTGGTTGGGAGCAGAATAGTCCATCTCTTCCTTCATGTGCCAAGTGTTCATGAATTAAGATGAAATTGGGGGTATACCAACAGCTTCCATCAGAGCTGTGAAACAAAACATACATTACGACGATAGTTCAGGTATATTAAACCAGAGCTGTAAGCAAATGTATCTGCAGAGGCAGATTTGGGGCAGTGCAACCGGTTCCGCCGCACTGGACACCAAGCCTAGGAGGCGCCACAGGATGTCGCAACTATGATGTCGTGAATTTAACAGAACTGAAGGTGAAATGTGGCCTTACACAGGGTCTCACTAAAATTTGAAAGACCTAAGTTTGCCCTGATGTATGTTGCTTCAGATTGCTAAAACTGTAGAATTAAAATATTCAGAAATATGAGACTAACTACGGGTTGCTATTAACTACTCAACAATCACAGGGTGTTAATTCTTTCTTTAGAAAAGCATTTTAGCGTGTCTGGTATTTCCAGTTTGTTTTATAAAACCACATTCCTAAGCAACTTGCAAGTTCCCTTGAAATTAGTTGTTCTTAATGCCATATGGATTGTGGAGTTAGATAAACACGTAATCTTATTTGTTTCTATGTTAAGAATTCTAAATGACTAAAATCTGAATCTTGTATGAGCTGATGTGATATAAACAGGTTTATGTAATGGTTACTAGTGCCTCTTGAAACTGGTAGCATGTAAGGCAACCAACCAACAGTAGGTGGAGCCAGAACCAATGACAAGCAGAGTTAACCCATTTTAGCTTTGTCCTCTGAATATTATGCTATGTAGGAGGGCAGGGCCAAGACATTTTGGCACCTGAGGCGAACCATAAACTCCCACCTCCCTCCCCACGAGGGAAGAAGGGGTGAGTGAAGATCTACATCAGTAACAAGGTGGGGCACAGTAAACATCTGTGTTGTGATCTGCTGTCCCTGTGAATACTGCCATCTGAGGCGGTTGCCTCACCTTGTTTCCTGGGTGGGCTGGCTCAGCTATGTGCAGTTGCTCTTATTTCTATGTATAAATAAAATGGATTGTCACACCTATCTGCATTTTTGGATTCTTCATGGGGCCATGGCTATTGGGATTCTCATGATGAGCCCATGTACTTCCAAAAGAACCACTAGACCATGATCTGCTAAGGTGATAATCACACATATGGAGAGGAGTGCAGTATTGTGCCTCCTGTCCTGTCCCTGATCTCTGTATGTTTAAGCTGGAAGTCCGAACAGAGTCTGTGTATATCCAGTTAAACATGTTTAAGTTCTGCATGCAGGATCTGAGATGTATTTTTGTAAGGTTTATAATGTCATAGAAAGAGACTACACATGTTCAACTTGTACATGCATGTGTTCTATTCATTTCTTGGATGTGTGGAGGCCAGGCATGGGTATTCTGCTTCTGTTCCATGTATTCAGTGAACATTGTTTGAAAAGGGCTAAGGTCAATGAACAACATGAATACTTATACTAAATAGAGAAGAATATATAGCTAGCAGCAACTGGTTTGTGGATTATGTTTTTATTACCGGTATTTGGAATTCTCAAGGAAACCTTCTTGCCTCTGATCTTTAACCACATGGGCATCCTCTTGGCCCCATCGTACCTTTCCTATTTTGTGGTATACATTCTAGCCAAGGTTCTGTTATTGTGGTGTTGCATGTATGTTCCAAACTAAAGGAATAATATATACCACCTTATTGTTAATATTCAAAGCTTTAAGGCCCTGTTATGGTTGTGCTTGTAGTTCCCCGACTGATTTTCTCATCAGAGTTTTTGTTAATGCAAAGTAGCTGCAGATGCCTTGAAGTGGGGATTTTGAGTGGTGAACCATTTTTCTCTTCAATATGCCGTTTCAGCTGCTTTTTGTCCTGAATGGGAAAATATATGGAGATCCCATATTTTCCCCCATGGGTGGTGGTTGGGGGGGGGAGCTTTCTTTCTTCAAAGAAAGGATCTGGGAAAGAAAGTAGAGTAGAAAACTTTATAAATTTGGAATATCATGTTGTGTGTTTAAGTGTGAACTTAAAAAGCTTGAAGTAGTCCCACATATGTGCATAACAATATTATGATATTAGACTTATGCAGACCAGACTCCCAAAGCTATAGTGAAAGCAGAGAGTTGGAGCCATATGTCTGTGGGTCAGTAACCAAATAGCATTGTTGTGTTCTGATTAGTCAAGACAATTCTATTCAGTGTAATATAATGAGATTCCTCCTGGCTTTCTTTTCTTGGCTCACAATGGTGCCTATCACTTTGCCAAAAAAATGTGTATGTTTTCTATTCTGGCTCCTAGGCCTAACCTATACATTTAGAGTCTCAGCCCTGAGACATCATTGCTGATGGTACTTCTATGGGATTTCCTCAATAAAAAGCCAGAGTGGGGACTAGTAGTATTATCCAGTGTTGTCAGTATTAGCTGTGGAAATCCATGTGTTGCTAACAGTGAAATGAAGATACTATATGTGTTTAATTATATCTTTCAGCTGTGCCAGTAGCTTACCCATATTATCTTGGGCCATGTTCATTGACCATGAACATGGTGTTATGTCACCATACGCCCTCCCACAGTTCATTTATGAAAACAAGAACACTCTTGTGTACTTATTTTCACAACCAGGCTATTAGTGTGACCTGCCCGCATTACACATTACTGTAAGCTCTTCTCTACCAGC